GTTCATCATCATTTGTACTCAGAAGTGTTTTATATGCAAATCTTGTACGAGCTGGAAAACAAATGAAAGCCTCCTTTATCGAGCATAACTCTAATTTTGAATATTGTTCATATAAATGGAAAACTTGCATTTTTTTCAGATTTTTTTCAGACCTAATAAAGAATATCGGCTTTGAGACAATTACCTTCATGAAGAATTTATACATCAGTTAGTAGCAGCCTGTTCGAAATAAATAACCAAGATTTAAATTTGATTTGTGATATTTTCTCGACTAAATTTCAAAACATTTTGTAAAAACGTGTAATGTCGCCCTCTGCTCATTCATCTTCCTGTTAGGGTGCTTTCACTGCGAGACATCCTGGATGTTTTTTTTGGGGGGGGGCATTTCTGGGCTTTTGTGTCTGAGCGGGACTTCAGCAGAGTAATCTCCTGTGCATTGGGAGGGAAATCTCAACCGTGATAACAGCAGCTTCCAAGTCTCCTCTTGGCTGACTTCTTACCAACCCGATGTCTGATGATCAGCAGAGCATGAAACAAACATGTTGTATACACAATTCTATCTTTCTCTCTCTGTTACGGCACTTGTTCCTGCCTTTCTATCTTTCTGCAATGAGTCACTGTTTTCATGTAACTCTTGGTCTCATTTGAGTCTTATCTCTAAAGTCTCATCATTTACAGAATCTCTCGATAGCGTTTCCTTTTGAACACTCTGCATCACATGCCTTCATCTTAGCTGCTCGTTAAGCCTTCTGTTCATCTAAGGGATTGTCCTGCTTCATGTTAGCCTGCCTTTATCCTAACCTTAATAACATGTTTATCCAGCTACACTGAAACGCTGGCTGTCATTAAGGATCATGACGATTCTTAGTCAAAACTCTACCAGTGACTGTTACCGGTTCTGAATGCCACTGATGATTGATCTAATGGAAGGATCATATCCTGTCGATTGTCCTGGGTCTAGACCTGTGAATCTGCCAACTACCCCGATGGCAGAGGCTGCAATGTAAGTGACAATCAGAAGTAACAAATCCCGTTCTTAAACATTCACACGCAACCAACAAAGCAGCGGGAGCAACTTGGGGTTGAGTGTCTTTCCCACCGATACCTCAGACATGTGTCTGCAGGAGCTGGGGATTGAACCCTGACCTTCTGGTTGACAGGCAACAGACTCTACCAACTGATTCACAGCCGCCCCAAAGTTTGAATCGACAGTATAGGAAACCTCCCTAAAGGGTCCCCCCATCTGACAACATTCACTCTTGCTGCACTTTGACAATTGTTAGATTATGATGATTCTGAACTTTGGAAAAAATATAAACATGTTCACATTTCTTTCGTTGGTGTCAGATCATCTATCTCATAATGTTGATGAATGCTGGTTGAAAGGGCCCTCTATGTGGATTTTTGCCTCGGGCCCCCCAACAGACTCCAGAATCGCCACAGACTGTCACACCGTGTGATGCTTTTATTGACTTTTAGACGTTAAGTTTGTCGAACCACTGTTTGCTCTTTCCTATATCAGCAGTTGAACAAATAAAAAGAGTGGCTCTCGTCTTCATCATTGCACTGCTAGTAGCTCCTGGCGATAATCCCAATATTGACAAGTCCTGTCACTGAGATAAAGCCCGCTCTAAAACTTCAAAACAAAGATATTACTGTAGTGTGGTGTATTACAGCAGTGCTGTAGTGTTCTTCACGGACGCTGCCTCGCCATCTGCTCAGCTGTGAGGCTGCTACTCACATGCTGCGCTACTGTAAACAGTACAGTCCAAACAATGAAAAGCAAAACACTGTGTTAGCTTAACTCAAAGGGTTTGAGTGTGTTTGGTATGCGATGGGTTGGAGAAGAGTCTGAAAAATGAGTTTTTGAATGCATCTGCGTCTTGTTTCTACTCAGTCCTCACAGTGAGTCCCCTCCAGGTTTCAGTTTTAATAAAGTCCAGTCATGCAGTGTCAGACCTCAGCAAATACATTAGACTCTTTGTATTACACGTTCACACGCTAAAGATCACAATGTGTGCTATTCATGAGGTACGGCTGCCTGTGAATTACAATGAAGACGCTTTGACCTGCTGTTTCACAGGGACCCTTTACTTTAACGTATAGTAAGTCGTTCAACAAGTCATTTCTTTCCTTGCTAATGTTGCTCAGGCTCTTGAGCTACTGTATCAATTCGCTAACAGTGGAAAATATACCACTCAAAATCCTTTTCTCAATAGTATAGTCCACTTCAGATAGATGATGACAAAGACAGACTTCTTAAAATAGCAACTGTATACTTGGTCCACTACCGCTAGGAGACTTTTACCACCTCTAGCTAGCTAGCTAATAATGGTTTTGAAGTGTCTAAAAATGTAAATTTTGGTTGGCGTTTTTTTGTTTTGGATTATGAAAATTTTAAAAAATCAGAGAATCGAAAAAGACCAAGTACTTTGAGTTTTCTGTTGTATCTTTCATCACAAGAAGTACACTGATTTACACAAGTTAGCTAGCTAAGCTAACTTTAGCTACATGACGAGGTTCAAATGCACACTTCACATCTCTTTGTCTTTTATCTTGGGACAAGATCTCTGTTACATTAATATGCAGACATTTTATAATGCCAACACAACTGCAGAAAGTCTAAATTAATATGTCATTGACAAAGTTCAACCAGGACTGCCAATTAAAATTACACAAGTGACTTAAACGTCACGCTCTCATGCCACACATGCTTTTTCTCACGCTAACTTGTTGCGCTTTTTTCCAAGCCAGTCGATCGGTGCTGAGAGTACACCTGGCTAAGACAGCACTTTTAACGCATTGCCAATGAACATACCAGTCATCATCATTATCATCTTCTGTTAGAACCATTTAATCTATTCAGTAACTAATTCCAATCATATTCAACTTGGGGTTAAGTGTCTTGCCCAAGGACACGTCAGACATTTGGCTGCAGGAGCTGCATCGAACCCCCAACCCTCTAGTTAAGAGACGAACCGACTCTACAAACTGAGCCACAGCCGCCAGTGAATTTCTTGACTTTCTTTCTGTCTTATCTCAGAGATTTTCAGCCCAGAGAAGCTTTTTGCCATCAGGAAGGGTTCAGGATTATAGCTTCAGCTCAATTTTCTGGAGGATAAAGAACAATATTGCTTCAGGCAAGTGATGGAGAGAGACTAATGGCGATTTTTAATTCTCTATGTAAACGACATTATTAGAGAGAGCTGTTCTTCTCTGGAAGCGCTCGTGAAGCCCTCAGTCATTAAATGCCTCTTCCTACATCAATTATTAAACCAGAACTTCATCTTGTGCCTAATGAGCTACAAATGAGGTTTTTTTTTTTCTGATATGCTCTCTCTGGTGCCCCAGATGAGTGCAGAATACTCCTCCACCATTGTGTCAGAAAATTACATATTCAGCCGTATCATAATCCAATATTCATTGTTTCAAACTCGCTTAATTCAGTGACATTGTTAAATAGGCAGAGGGGATGTGAATGCGTGTTTCTGTCATTTAAATGGGTTGTGGATTCAATCTTCCGTCTTCCGTCACACCCTGGTAGTTAGCATGCACGTGCGCAGGATTGTGTGTGAATATCTGAGCGTGTATGTGTGTGTGTGTGTGTGTGTGTGTGTGTGTGTGTGTGTGTGTGTAGCAGGTTTGCCTGAGCGGAGCGAGAGAGGATGAGGGGAGAGAAAGGTGCAAGCGTGAGAGCGAGAGAGGAAAACCCCCCTCTCTTGAAGGGGACATTGTGTGCCGAGAAATACCTTTCATCAGAGCACAGTGATGCTGAATCTCTTTGATTTCAGAGTGTTTCACGTGTTACTCACATACTTGAATTAAAAAACCCCAGAAAAGATGGGTTTCTTAAAACCTTAAGGGCTCAAAGAAAAAAGGTCAAAAGATTATTTGGATTAAATGGACAATGCTGAGGCTGCTCACCTCTATTGCATCTCCTCATGTTATTCCAACATTTCTTATTCACTACAAAAATAAATCATTACAGGTAATTACAACACAAGGGTGATATTAAAAACAACATGCATACCACATTACCGCAACATGCATGTTTAATAATGTCCCCAAGGAATCTATGCTTCACTGGTTGACCTATAATCAGTATAACTATGAAACTCTACTCTCCTGTCCCACATTTGTTTAATGAATTCAGCTGCTTATACCAAAACAGGGTGCAGGGTGCAGGGTTAAAGGAACACACGTTTAGTTTTCAGGTTAATGTCAGAGACACTGCACATTCCTGCCCATTACATAGGAATTTAACCCTTGTTTTCAATTAAATGAGCTTAATTTATCCTTGAACTGCCTGAAGACTCACGCTCACAAGCAACCGGCTTTTACAAGAAATGTTAGAAAAAGTAATTGCAGCCTTCATGTCTTCTCAAAATGATTCTGTCAAAAGAAAATATCTGTAAAGTTCCACAAAGCTGCATTTAAGACCTCAAACGTTATTTGCGTTTTTAAGCATTTTTATTGAACATTACATCCTCCTTTTGAAGGCAGAATTTTGTTTTCAGCTGTCACCTCATCTTATAAGTCAGGATCTTTATGCAGGTTTCATCCCTGTGGTGTTTTTTAACCAAGTATCTCGCAGCCTCAGGACCGATCAGTAACACGCTCCCTTTGCTTCACCCACAAGGATCCAATATTGTCCTTGTGTGAATCTACACTTATGTGCAGTGTCCTGTTTGTTGTCTGCTGTTCGACATGTTCCCCTCCAACTGTGCCTCTGGAATAGTTCTGTCGGGACATCAAAAGTGATCTCAAGTGACATTTTCATACTTGCTTCTTTCCCTGTTACGCGGTCACATTTGTTACATATACATCTACCTGTGAAAAAAAAATGGTATTTCTGCAAGTTAAAAGGTTATATTTCACTGTGGACTCCGTTTCGACTTCCACACAAATAAACCTGTTCTGCGCGCTCAGATCCGTGCGTAATGGTAACAAACGCGGACTGGTTTGTCATGTTATGTTCAAAGGAAGATCGTCAAACTTACCAAATTGCACCTCCATTTGGCGAATCTCTCTCCTCCTCTTCGATACAAAACGGAGCAGAGAAGATATCAGAGAATCCAGACAGAGTGTCCCTCTTTTACGCACGTCCAACAACACGAAACAAATGAAACAGGAGACCGGGTACATTCAGACGGAACCAGCAGATGGGCTCTGGAGGTGTAGCTGCTGAAGCTGCTTCACGTCTCCACTAGCAGGTGGCGCGTGCGTGTACGTGTATGAACACAGCAGCCAAACGCATTCAAACCCTGCCATATCAAAAGTCCCACAAACTACGATTAATGTCATCCTGCTTCTATTAAAACAGTTTGTTCAAAAACCGATTTGTTTTGCCCCAAAGTTCAACCATAAAGTGTAAAAAAAAAAAAGTGTGGACATCCATCTGATCCATGAAGGCGCAGCTCAGTGTGTGTTTGTCTTCTGCAGCCAAACAGTTAAACACTCTGGGGAGAAGCACGGGTGCTTCCTGGCGGTGCTCCTGCTCCTGCGATCCGGTCCGCTTCAGTGGAGGAGAGAAACGTCAACAAGTTGCTTCAAATCTGCGAATCTGTGAGGATTTCATGGGACTGGCTGCGCGGCAGATTCACACATACTACTGTGAGGGAATCAAGACTACATCGACTATACAGCCTACAGGCGCGTTGTTCCAGCAGCTCTGTGGATTTCTTTAACGCTCCGCACTGTTAGTGTTTACAGTAGGATGTTCTCAACAGCGGGATCAGAAACTTCCAGGAGGAGGCAGCTGTCAGTTCAAAAAATGTTCCACAGCAAACTAACAAAATGTATTTTCGTCTGAGGTCACTTACTAATAAAGCTGAATTCATGGATCATTTTAAAGAACATTTTAAATATTTTCTTATTCATCTCAAGGTATTTTTTATTTCTGATTTATTCCTTCTGAGTTCTTAAATAATCCAGATCCGTTTTAGTTTTTTTCCATCCTGACTTTAGAGGGGACAGCTCCCCAACAAGTCTGATAAGTCTCAAACACTGTCCCAGAGGAGATTTAAAGAGTGTCAAATGTCAATGTGATCAGCAGTGATCAGCCTGACTCAAAGCAGTCCCAGTCAATTCTCTGTGCTTACAGTGAGGTTTGTAAGCTGAACTTACTCTGCTCTATTTTCTGCTTGTTTTCTGTTTAAATCTGCTCCATCAGCAGTGCTGAGCTGTAAACTCGCACGCATCAGTTTTATCAAAATTTCATGATTTCTAAAAACCCCTGTCCACACACATTACTCCAACACTGTCATGATACAGGATGCTACGCTGCTGTCATGCTGATACTGCATATACAGGGAAACACGTGTGTGTGTGTGTGTGTGTGTGTGTGTGTGTGTGTGTGTGTGTGTGTGTGTGTGTGTGTGTGTGTGTGTGTGTGTAACCCACATGTCACTGTCACCATGCAGCACGACTACAAAGAAGGCTCAGTTTGGGATTCTGTACATTTCAATGTTAACTGTCTGAAACAGATGCTTTTACTGAGCCAGAGTCATTCTTAAAGAAACAACCACAGCCCCATAAAAAAACATAATTTTAAATCTTGTTCTGATATAATAAAGAAAAGATCCAAAGTAATCTGAGGACACAACATCTGGTCAAAGTGTCTATTATCCGGTTAGGGATCCATAAAACCTGATTATGGACCCCTCAGTGCACATTATCCTTCTTATGCAGTGGTGGTTCTAGACCACTTTTACTCAGGGGGCCAAACTGGGGCCAGTTGTTTTGTCAGAGGGGAACATTAAACCCAGCTGAAAAATAGACAAAGATGATCGCTTTAAAAAAATATATATTATGCCAAATAATAACGCACATCATTAAATACCACAACATCAAATACCATGATTTATATTTGTTTCAGTATTTAATACTAGATTGTTAGTCTGGTTGTTGAGTCAAACACTGTGTATGTGTTATAAGGGGGGCTCTTCCTTTTGGAGGGGTGGCCACAGGGGGGACCAATCTCAGTTTGTTTCCAGGGCCTGTTGTTATGACAATCCATCCATTATCATACCGCTCAGTTTCTTCACTTTGTCAGAAGATTCATTTCAAGCGAGTTGTCTGAAAAGCTCTCCTCTGAAGTGTGAATAAATGGCGGGTTAAAATTACATTTCATGATTGGTGCTAAATCACAGGACAGCGTGCATTTGTTAGTTCATTAAATACTTTGATTGAGCTGCTGTTTTTCTCGCCCCGCTTCTGTAAATTTGATCCCTAATTGAATCAATAACAGCTCCTTGAAAGCTAATTAGCAGGCTCCTGGAGTTTAGAAAATGCTAATGGAGAAATGGAGCGCATCATTTGCACACATGTAAGAACACACACACTTTATGGGCTGATTTAAGTGGAAATTAAAACTGCTGAGGTTTGAATAATGAGGGTTTGTCTTTGATCCTTTCGGGTCTCCATCCTTGGGTAAAGCAAGCGACCACACAGGAGTGAAATAAAGCGCAGGATTGTTTTGTTTTTTTAGTTCAGCTCTCTGAAACCATTCACTGTAAACGAGGGGGTCAAAGTGTCACTGTTGAGATTTTTTCTTGCAGCCATTGAACATCCTGATATTGCAGTTCAAACCTCAGCTAACGGTTTTGATGTCTTAGCTCGATTTTTATGAAAAGTGTGTCTTTTATAACATCATTACAGGACACATCGTGAAATAGTTATCCTGCAGCTAAACAGGTCAAGTGTCGAGTCTGGAAACACTGATAGGAAATGTCATTAAATGTCAAATGGTGTTTGATCCTTTAACAAAAAATGTCTTTGAGCTGCTTCAGTGGAGATGTGGGAGAATTTTTATTCATGACTTTGCCTGAAGTTATGTCGTGTCCTGAACTCAAATACCCCAAAAAACTTCTGTAATATATTTCATTATAATGTTTACTTACAATTAGTGTTGTAGTCAAGAGCACACCCAAGTTTAGAATCAGAGATGGGGCGAAGCATCCAACAAAAAACATCCCTGGGGTTATTGAATTGAGCCTCTAACAATTTATGGTTGGTCTTGAAATCCTATTATGTTAGTGACCAGGGTATTAAATCTACCAACAAAAGGTAGACCACTGAATGAATGCAACCTTTACGTCTCCTAGAGAAATTTAATTTGAAACAGGAGCATAAAAACATCAAAACAGACTCCAGAAGCCATAAATGACAACACATAATTTAACGTGAAACATTAGCATCCTGAATACATCCTGAATCATAAAAGGCCCACACTATGTTTGAGGTTTAAATAGTTCCACAAATGGTTTTCACCCCCCCGGACTGATTTTTATATGTTTGACTAAAGAATGCAATCATCTCTTTTTTAAAAGATGATAAAAACATCAAACACTTTGAGAACTGTCTTTGGACCGAACAGATTTGGACTCTCAGAAACTTGTGAGCGTTTTTGCAGCAGCGTTATAAAGTAGGAACATTGAAAGTCCAATAAAAGCCGGACACCTCTGTGTGGCACGGTGATGTATGACTTGAAGCAGGATGAGTGTGCACATTACAGTCTGTTGGAGCCTTACCAAGAGGGAACCAGATATCTTTACTGCCTCGCCAATTCAAACACTTAAAAGATTAAACTTTCAGCCCCTCCCTGTTTGTAAAGCAGAACAAAGACATTACTGTGTTATTATCGGATCCATCAGGCCAAAACACATCCCTCAGAGCGGGCGTCTGACGGGATGGAGAGGGTTGAATGTTTATTTTTTAATACCACTGCGCATTAAAACACACCTTTTAGCGGAAATCCATAACGTTTAGAAAATGCCCTGCACCTCTGAAAAACACCTGCAGCTTGAGGATCAATGCCAAATCTCTATATGCCTTTCTTTGAATATAAAGTGTAAATGCTTGAGGGGTCATAAAGAATATATCGAGTATGTTGATATTTTACCTTAAGCTGTTTCCACCAGGCCAAACCTGAAGCCAAAAAGGGCGACTTCATACACAATGAACCACTTTCATCCTGGGATTTCTCGTTGAGGGTCCTTGCACTGTGAGTGCTCGGGCCCTATTTAATTTTTTATGCGCACCATATGTAGAGAGGCAAGTCTATAAGTCAGTGTGCAGAACGCATCTGAGAGGAAGACGGCTCACAGCTCATTTGTCCACAGGCTCAGCAGTAGTGTTCATGATAGGCATTACATGTTTTTTAGCTCATCGGAGCCAATACATATATTTTGTAGTTTACATTATTTTTGCAATAAAAAAACAACCAGCATTTTTTTTTTTTTTTTAAAGATTTATTTTTGGGCTTTTTGCGCCTTTAGTGGAGAGATAGGACAGTGGATAGAGTCGGAAATCAGGGAGACAGAGAGAGAGTGGGGAATGATGTGAGACTATAACCTCCAAACATGGGGCGCGCGCACAAACCACTGCACCACCAGCGCCCCAAACGACCAGCAACTTTAAACCTCAACTCTCACTGGATTTATTTTGAATCAAGTCTGCGTGTTTGATGAACTGTGCCCGTTTCTTCCATGTGTTAAATACAAGAAGATATTGTCGAGGTTACAGGACAAAGCTGATTTTAAAGTTTTTGCAACTTCATGTGGCATTAGTTTCAAGTCGTGAGATAAAAAAAAGTATTAAAGTTGAACCTTTTTATCTTTTAATGGGATATTTTTAAAGTAAGAAACATATGGAGTGTGGTCGGCCTCATCCTTTAAAGTAATATTCTAGTGTGGAGTGGAGCTCTTCTTAGGAGTTCACGGCTTTTGTTTGCTGGAATCAGACAAAGGAAGACGTTCCCTCTGGATTGTTCGCTGAATGCTAATGTCCGCTTGTTTTTGTGAACTATGAAGGTTCCTTCCTGACAAAAAAAAAAAGTGCTGACTTTTATACCCTTTATGAATTTTAATAGTTTCAAAATAGAAAATAAAGATGTCTTTGTGGCTCCCGAATTTATGTTTTGCTGCTCACCGCATCACAACACACGAGACGTTTCTTTGAATAAGAAAAAATAGTTGCTTTCTGTGGACAGATAACCCAAAGGCAATTTGGCTGCAGAGATGTGTTTTACTTCCTAGGTGTTCAAACAAATCTTTGCAGCAGCGGTGAAGTACAAAGGCCAATATGAGGAGAAAACAAGGCAAACAGTGTGATAACAGAGGGACCACTGTTGTTTAAAATAAGAGGAAAAGATTAAGAAAAACAATACCCAAGAAGTTTAAAAAAAAAAATCATAATGTAAAAAATCAGGGTTATGGATGTTAATTTTCTCTCTAAAGGGTTGAGTGACAGATAAACACAGTGCTATACTAAACGTGAATCTCTTATTTCTTTTCTAATATGAGAGAGTGAGATAAAGTAGCTGACTGATAAGCATACAGCACTTTCTTCAGATGTTTTAAGCCTGGCTCAGAAGGCAGGATCATCAGGCCGATTTAAGGTCTGATTACTCCTTCCTGGGTGTTCCCTTCTCAAGGCGGCTGCTAGGAACCGATCATCTTACCAAATTGTTATTGTATTGAGTCGTATAACCAATCTTAATGCCCCGATCTGCTCGGCGATCGTCTCTGACACCTGGCGTTTCAAACTGGTACTGCAGTCCAAATTCAAAACATTAGAAAGAGCTGTCTTTTCGCCTCACTCCTCCCAAGAGTTGATGAGAATGCGGGTTGCATGTTGAGGACACTGAAGCTTCAGTGTTTAGCCTACTCTGCACATGTCTTGA